CTCTACCCCCATACCCAAGTGGCGAAAAATAGATGGATGGTTGACACAATTGTATTTTCACATCTTCACATAAAGCAACAAATCATACAGACGTCACACTTCCCTATATGGCCTAATTGTAGTTGCAAGGTCTTATAAATAGTACAATAAGTAGGGCAATCAACAAAAAAAGCATTAATAAGAATTAATTTCCTTTAGAGATAATAAAACCAAATCACCAGTTTCATCATCAAGTCATGCCTAACAAACGTAATCTACCCAACAAAATGACCTCATGCATTCATAAACGACCTCCCAACTCTCTATTTATTCCGTCTGTTGCCTCCATCAGCTCATTGTTCCATTGATTCCACCCGATTACTCTCATCTCACACCCTCTACTCTTTCTGTCTCTCTTCTGAACACTTGATAGGCGTTCATTTTACTGGGAGGAGGAGCATGGTGGACGGGCAGGACTTTTATCTGAAAAGCAGCTATAAATAACCAGTTGGAAGAAAGAAGTAAAAGAGATGTAGAGGAGACAGAGAGAAAGAAAGAGAAGGGTGGAGAGGGAGTTGGAGTTGAAATAGATCAGCTGTGGACTGTACAAATATTTGGTAAGCAGAGCGCTTTTGGTTCGAAGGAAATCAAAAACAAAGCGAGGCCTGATGCAGGGCGGACTGCAGAGTGTTGATGAATCCAAAGCAGAGGATGCCTTTAATGAAATGTTTCAACAAAAACAAAAACAAGCACATCCCGTTGTTCAAAGGTGACCTCTTTAACGCTGACTTGTGGGAACACTACTAAATGTCCCTGCTGTCTGTGCTCAAATCCGAGAACCTCCAACTTAAACCGCTGACACCGTTTGGGGTTTACATGCCTAGTTATTAAAGCTCTTGATTTTACAGGTTCAGGGATTCGAACCAGAAGACATCTTAAGACTTCTCTGACCTTTAAACAATTCTTCTTTCTTGCCACCCTGACCTCTTTTCATTTCCTTCCTCCATATGCTGATGATGTGGTTTTAAATGTTACTGCTAGGGTCAGATGGGATTACAATACTCAGGCTTAACATGAGAAAGGAATGGAGGAAGGGAGGGAGAAAAGAGAGAAGCTATAGCTTGTGTGATTAGAGCTAGTGAGACACAAGTCATTTTTAGATGAGGGTGACTGCAAAGGGTTAAGCCCAACAGGACTTACTGGTGATTATACAGAGCCTAGACAGAAATTATGGTTCAGAAAAATACATGGGTGTGTGCACGAGTCTTTTGAAGCTCTTACCCAACGTCTTACTATTTCTGACCCAACAAGTGCTCAAACACTCACAAAGAAACACTCACACACACACACACACACACACACACACACACACACATACAGCCAGAACAATCAGTATGCATAGACAATCACAGCCCTAACCCCTTCAGCTATCTTATCTTCATCTCTGAGGCCAGATAATCCACATAGGTCCTTCAACAAACACATACACACACACATACGCACACACATCCACATCCTGGTGTCCATGGTGCTTACGTCCTAGCACATGCTGTAGTGATTTTTAAAAGGGGCTGGCTTATCAGTCGCCATGTCCATAAGCTGAAGAACACACTCACCTTAGCTGTCTTCCCTCCCAGTCTGTGCTCCAGTAAACTGGATGGTAATCACTTCTTCATTATACTACAATGTCATATATTCTTATTGCTCAGTGCAAATCATTTTAAAACTCTATATCCTGCAGCCAAGGGCAGTTTTCCAGTGTTATGCATGTCAAAATGTCAGCAATCACATTCATGTATCCTTAATTTATGCTTCAGCTAATATCTTAAGATTTATGAATGAGACAATTTAATTAATCTACTTTTGAAAACTGTACTTTGAATACATTTTCTGCGGGTATGAGGATGAGAGCTCTTCTTCAGAGGTTGTAATGTTAAAATTATTTTGGCATATGTGTATCAGTTTTAAACTGTAAAGCCCAAATTAGTTGTTTTTAAAAAAAATCATTGTATTTCATTATGCCTGCTCTACTTTGTTTGACCACTGACCTGCAGAGTAAACTGCTTTTAGTTTGCAAAAACACGAGCCTCACTATAAACTCTAATAGTGGAAAATATACCACATGAATGGGGCTACTGTTTGTAAGGGAGACATTTTTTACCCAGCATGAGAACATGTTATTGCAAGTACAGTAATTTCACAGTAATTTAATGAGTAAATCCATCCTCCGTGTGGCGTGTCTGAAAAAAACCCCAAACACATTTATAGTTTTGAAAGCTAAACAGATTTACATAAGCCATTTAAGTATGCATCTTGAGTTATTAGTTTCCAATCAATTTCACTGGAGTACTATAGTTAGTATAATCTCATCAAAATGTGTAATGTTAAATGACAAATTTGAATGTGAATAACAAATGAAGTGAGTGTAAGAACTGAGAGGATGTGGATTTTCATGAATTATATGTTTCTCGATTTCCTGAAACCAGGGTAATAACAATGCAAACAGCGATTGTATGTATGCAGCGTCAGCATGTGGACACACTGAAACTGTGTGCCTCTGCACTCATGGCTCATAAAGTGAGGCATAATACAGAAACGATTAGTTGGAGTGGGGTTCGGGGCCTCCTTGACAACATTCCAAGGGATCCCCCTGCCAAGTAAGGATTAGTTTAATTTTAGCACTATCTCATTCATTTACTAGACATTATCTTAAATAAGGTCCTAGAGGAATGACAACTTGCACTACCTTGTTGTGTGTATATTCCAAAATGAAAGGATAATGATGAAAACATTATCTAAATATCTCACCCTTACACCCTTTGTTTTTCTTTGGAACACTTGAGCACACCTAAGACAAAATATTATTAAGTGGAGCGTAGTTGAGATTGTGTGTATTGTTATCTTCCTACCTGCCACTGGTGTTGCGGAGGATCACCAGGGCATCAGGGAAGCCATCCAGGTTGTAGTCCCCGAGGTGCAGGGCCAGGGGTTGGATGGGTTTCGCTGGCACAAAGCTCCAAACCGTTTCCCTCCGCTGGAAATCCGACAGCACTGATACCCACTGCAGCAACAACCAAAAAGAAATACACCTCAATCAGAATGAATCAATACAACAGAGGATAAACTGTAGATGAGCAATTCAAAAAGTTATCTTAAATCTTAACCATTGTTGATGCTACTTCTTTAGAAAGTAGTATCAACAATTGAAGGAGGTGAAATATAGGTGAATTAATCCATTATGAAAAAAAGCACATTTATTTTTTACCAAGCTTTGTTCTGCACATCTATTTGTATCTTCTTGTAAATTGTTTTTGAGATTGTATAATTGTACAATGAGAGCAACATATAACAGGAGTCAAATTCTGTGTATGTGTACACATACTTGGCAAATAAAGATGTCTCTCCCAATTCTTAAGTACGCCAATTATGTTTTTAATAGATTTTAAGTAAACTCGGGCGCCCCATGTACCAAGGCTGAGTCCTCGCTGCAGCAGCCCAGGGTTTGAATCCGACCTGTGGCCCTTTGCTGCGTATCATGTCCCCTCTCTCCTGCCCCCCCCCCCTTTCCCCTGCTCCTCCTATGCTTTCCTTTTCAAATAAAGGCATCAAACAGCTGAAAAAAATATACTTTAAAAAGATTTTAATTAACCTAAGTTGATTTGAAGTCAAGGCCATTAACCTGTTCTTGAGATCTGTTGTTTGCACTTGACCATACTTTTTGGCTAATGACCTTTTCACACTGGCATCCAGCAGTAATGCATGTTTCTGCTGCACTTTTCTTACATGTATCTGCGACTTCCTGAGCAGGAAGACACAAACACTACAAAATGCAACCAATAATCCCATATACACAGTTACTGTGTTGAAGCAAGTAGAAGCAAGCAGTGTTGACCTCTTCACCAAGGTTAGCAACCAAATACTAACTCAATATAAAATTGGTCTGCATCTACATTTGGATATTTCGGGCCCTTTTTGGAAGAAAATAGGCAACCCACAGTGAACTTCTCAGATAAAGACATGCAGGCCACAAAACTGCTTGTACCATTGCTTGCACCAAGGGCTCAGATCAAAATTACTCAAACCATGGCATGGCGCCTACACATTCATGGGTATTCCAATGTAAGGGGGGAACAAATAACATCATTGAAAGTTGACCTACAGTAAGCAATGAGAAGCTGAAAAGAACAATCTAAAACTATCACCAAATGTGTGCCTCAGTGGAGTGAGAGCAATGGTGCGGGGGACTGACATTACCAACAACAATTCCAAAAATCTTTTTCAGTGCTGTTAGAGCACTCAAATAATACTTCTGCATGGTGGTCTCACAGTGGCTAGTTTTAGCACTTTAACTCCAGAACATTTTCCAAGATGACTTTGTGTAAAACTTAACACTAAAGTCAAATAATTATATGACTGAAGTTCAATACAAATTGTGCACCTAGATAGAAATCTGTCATCATTGAGTGCAAACGGAGACTCCTGCAATACTTTTCACAATTACAAGAAAAGCATTTACTTGAGAAGTAAAAAGCAAATCACATTATTTGCTAAAATTTGAGACTTGCAAATGCTCAATTTAGCAACTCCTTTCCTCAGTGTGAGGATATTGTTCCAAAACAAAGCAAAATAGAAAGCAAAACAAAGGGCCGCAATATGACTTATCCAATCTGAACTGAACAAAATATAATCAAAGAAACCAATCTGAAATTGACTTAGACCAATAGAACATTTCAACTTCATTATTAATTATAATTTGTCCTAATGAAACTACAGAGCTGGGTTTTAGAATCAGGTGCTGTGTGTGTGCTCGTAGCCTGCAGTCTTGCCTTTAATGCCATTCTCTTTATACATCAGACATGGGTACTGAAGAAGCCCTCCCACTTTTTTAACCAAACACAAAGGAAGCATCTTTCCCTCATCTTAACATTTCAAATGTCGAGGTAATAGGGCCCTCAAGGGGGTCTTGCTGTAGTACTGCTACTGACTGATGTATTTGGAAGCAATACAACTGAAGAGGTACACATAGTAAACTATACCACACAACAGCACGCTGCTTTAAAAGACCTCACTGAGACCATTATCATCTCTGGTTTATAACGGATGCTATTTCACTTAACAGCTGCATCATTCCTCCATACTAGCACTGGTTTAAACCTTGACTCTCATTACATGTCATTCGCTGTCTTTCTTTCTGTCTTCCTATGATTCCACCAAATAATGCTGACTGAATGCAACAGAAAGAAATAAGCTATTACTTGTCATTTTACAAAAGAAAGGCTTATTGTCACTGCCCATATATTCCCAGTGAATTCATTTTAATAGAGTTCTAACCAGTGACAGAGATGGTGGTCTCCCCGCTTTCATTAGTGTCTTTACAGTGAGTTGTTAGGCAGTGGACTCCTTTGAATTACATATAATACAAGAGAGGGAGAGACAGAGAGACAGCGAATTATCATCCCTAAATCTCACCCTATCACCATCATGAGCAGCAATTCATGGCTAACATGTATCACCAGTCAGTACAGGATGTTCAGGTCGGTACATAAATTGTTCTGACTGGTGCAGCCTATGAATAAAACAATTACAGTCTTTATTACTCTAATACAGTCTGATTATAGTCTAGGTCTTGCCACATGTGAAATATGGATTTAACTGCCAGTTTATTAGGGACACCTGGCTAAAACTAATGCAGTCTTACTACAGAGTTCTGCAATAGAACCTGCCCGTCCCCCCCCCCCCCCTTTTAAAGTTGATCTCTTATTTTAGGAGATTGTTGATCAACTTTATGATCATTTTGGAGAAAGTAACCTGTGGTGGCGTTATACAGAGAGGTGTATGTGTTGATTAGCCTACACTCACTGATATAAATGACGTGGACAAAATAATAGAAGCACCTGTTACTACACTACAATTTAAAAGCACCACAAACTGCAGCCTTCAAAAGGCTAAGAACAACCAATGCTGGAAGAAGGTTTATCACTGTAGATATGTGATATATACAGAGCATTTATGTTTTTTAATAAATAATAAACACTCTGGATCTGAATATTCTTCATGTCCTCCAGTATTAGTCAAGGCAATACAATTCCTATAGTAATGAAATTGTATTTCATACACAATAAAAGTCTAATTCCACTCGAACACTTTCTTGTTGGCCCTGGTTTTATAGATTTGAAGACTGCATTTTGACACTAAAAAACGTATATAAAGTAAATAACCAGTTTAGATCCCTTTTTGTGTGTGTGTGTGTGTGTGTGTGTGTGGGTTGTGTGTGTGCTGTTTGGCTCGCAGAAAGGCGTGGGGCCAGATGCTGGAGGTTTAAAATATTCATGAATGTTAAATAGAGAGAGCAGGTGCAGGGGAGAGTCACCAGAGAGACACTCACCAGAACTGCCACTAATAGCTCTTAATATGACCAGCATGTCTGAGAAAGACAACCACAGCCTATTACCAATTAGTCTGAAATTTATCACACAAGCTGTGATGTCACTGATGTAAGTTTGCTCCAAACCAGCTGTGCACACTATGTGAACACAGGTACTGATGCACACTGTGGCCTGTTGGTAGGGGTGGCAGATGTGGTAGTGGTGATAATGGGTGTAGGTCACTTTAATGATTTGGCAAAAGAATGCCAAGTTGCTGATTTCTTTACTCCTAATCCATAATGGTAAGCTAACTGAAGATTTCACAATGGCAAATTCAAGACTTTTTCAGCTTAAAAACACTGATGATTTTGGGTTGACTATTCCTAATGGAAATAACAAAAGACTACAAATGAGCACAGTAAGCAAACCCAAACTACATGGCATTTCGTCACCATATGGGATGGGAGGCCAAAACAATTGAACATCTTTCATTCAGCTTCATGTAGCTGTGCAAAGTGCAATGCAAAACAATGAAAAATACATGAAACTTCCTTTCCTATTAATCTTCTGAGATCTGAGATAATTTGCCCTTTTTATTTTGTATTTTATTTATTTTTTAATTACTTTTTGTTAGACCTAATATACCAACTCACAGAGCGCACTAATTACACAAGTAGTATTTAAAATGTTGTCAACCAATGTTTATGCAGAGATGAATTCAATTTCGTATATTTGTCAATTTTACACCCACGCTACTTCCAGAAAAACACATTTTACAGGCACAGACACTATTTCTACTGTTTTATTTTGAAAGGCAGTGCCTTCTAATATTACAGTAAAATTGATCTAGTATAATTTAATCAAACTCTAACC